ATAATTCAGAGCACTCGAGTACTTTACACTTTCCGGGAAGCAGTAAGACACAGTTTAACATGTTAAAAGCTAGCATGGTTAAATACATGGAACAGGTGGGTAATAAGGAGAATGAATGACAAATTTTCTGAAGGAGTGATTGTGCACAGGATGGTGAGAGAGTGTTTGCCAGAGAAGACAAACACTGTTCACCTTGAAGGCAGTGGAAATTTCAGAAAGTTCGAGAAAAGGACCTATGGTGTTTTACACTGAGAGACTGTACAACGCCATGTGTCATGAGGCCAAGTCATTAACAAGAAGGGGTTCACAGCTTGCCCTCGGGTCCCCATGATAGAGCAGCATAGCATCATCACTCGCTTCTCTCTGCACACCTAGCCCACTGCACACCTAGCCCACACACTGCACACCTAGCCCACCCACTGCACACCTAGCCCACACACTCGCTTCTCTCTGCACACCTAGCCCACCCACTGCACACCTAGCCCACACACTACACACCTAGCCCACACACTCGCTTCTCTCTGCACACCTAGCCCACACACTGTCCAGGAGAGATAGGATAAAAGTCCCAAAGACGAATTCCCTTGAAGAAACCTGACAGAGCCCAAGAAGAATCACAAACACCATATGAATCTAGAGTGGGGTGGGTAGGGCGGAGGAGCGTGCAGAAAACTAGGACAGCAGGGAGAGCATGGCACAGAGTTCTGAGTTTGGGGGTGATGTGAGGACCACAGGAGGGGGGGTGAGTGTGAGAGGAGCCTGCTCCTGCAAGAGGCACGCATGTCAACGTTAGCTTTGCCTCTCCTGCCTGTGTCTTCTCATCAGTTAAAGTGGAGATGATAACAGTACCTACTCCATAGGGTTGCCATGTGGATTAAATGAGTGGATGAGCCCGACTGGTGTGCTCAGTGGTTGAGCGTCGGCCTATGAACCAGGAGGTCATGCTCGATCCTCAGGGGGACGAGCAGGAGGCAGCCGATCAATGATTCTCTCCCATCATTGATGCTTCTATCGCTCTCTCCCTCTCCCTTCCTCTCTGAAATCAATTTAAAAATATACATTTTTTTAAATGAGTTGATGAGAGCAGAGCCTGCAAGGTAGGAATTGTCCCGATTATTGGAATTTCCGCGTTTCTTTCAGTGAAACGTTGTCTATATGGACCATGGCTTTATGAAAGCTACACGTGACTCTCAGAGGCCCCGTGTGCCCAGCTGAGGAGCCTGAGCATCCAGTAAGCTCTTCCTTCTCAGGGTGAGTGCTGTGCCCCTCACTGGCCAAAGGGTGAAGTCAGGGGGGAAAGAGGGCCTGGTCACTTCACAGTGTGGTGTCTCCCACCAGCCCAGGCTTCCCGTGTGGGTACTCACGGTTCCGGGGTGTAGAGGGGGTCCGAGCCGTGCCGGATGTACTGGGTGCAGTGGAACACCCTGTAGGCCAGTCCCGCCAGGAAGTCTCTCGGACTCAGGTATCCAGCCACCGGCCTCACGGTGAAGCCAGATCTTTCTAAAGAGGCAACAGAAAGAGCCAACTAAATGCTAAGCCAGCAGGACTTGCTGGGCCAACCGGGGCTTTCCGTTATTTATAAGGGTGTTCTGGAAACAGAGTAATCAAGGTCCTACACCTCTTGACAATTGAATGACATACACAGTTGACCCTTGAACAACACGGGTTTGAGTGCCCAGGTTCATTTACACGCAGGTTTTTTTCAATAAATACAGTCAGCCCTTTCTATCCGCAGGTTTCACACTCACAGATTCCACTAACTGCGATCAAAAAACCTATTGTCACAGTCCCCGCCGTGTTTTCCCAACCGCAGATCAAAAATCCTGTTTGATCTACAGTTGTTTGAATCCGGGATGGGAAGGGCCAACTGTAGAGTCAAGTTACATGTGATTTTCGACTGTGCAGGGGGCCCCTGGATTGCTCAAGGGTCAACTGTATTGCTAACAGCTATCACGTCAGTGGCTTCTGATTACTAAACTACACTGTCGAGTGATGGTTTCCAGGGGAACAAGACATCTATGAAAATGGAAAGAAAAGGTGAAAAAAGATTGAAGGATTTAAATACAGAAGCCAATTTAGGACCAGAAGGCTCAAATACACAGGAGAGGATTACAATCTAAAGTGATGTTACCTGGTATCTTTCTAAACCACCACCCCCCACCCCCGTCCTCCCCCCTTCGTCCCCCAGGTAGGGATCCCTCCTTCGGGCATGTGGTCAGTTAACAGCTCATTTACTCCCTTCACTAGCTTCATGGAATCAATTCACATCCCAGCTTCCTACTGTCAATACCACCTAACTCCTTCATTCTGTATTATTGTTTCTGTGATATTATGAAAACAGTCACATCAATTACTCCAATTTGAAGGGGGACATGAAAGCCCTACATGCTTTATTGGTTTATAGTAAGAGGGAATCAAATAAGCAGAATATAATAAAATCTATGAAACTGCTCTATGCTGCCAGCTCAGTTAGGCTGTGGATGGATCATCAGCGTCTCGGTTAAGGGCTGCCTCCTGCTTCCTCCTGGTCAAGGCCCAGAGCGTTTACCACAGGAAGCCCGTCTTCCCTCGGACACCAGCACACCAAAGGCTCCCGTTCTGAAAACCTCCCCGCGTTAGGAGAGCACCTTAGAATGTCCCGAAATGGTTTATAAGGACAAAAAGCAATTAAGCTTATAAAACCAGTCTCCGTGGAGTTCCCGGTGTTTGCGTGGACATTACCCTGTCCTCAGGCCTCCTCAGACCCCTCATTCTAACAGATTATGCTCATGCCAAAGCTTCCGCTTTGGGTTGCTCCCCACTGGATATCAGAAAGATGAAGTGTATTTTCTCCTTTTTCTATTTTGTATCCATTAAGCCAGTGTGTCCCACTCATGGGGGACATGAGTGTGGTACACAGAGGAACAGTCTTTATTTTAATAGTTATGTACTTTATTTTTATATAAATTTTTTAAAAGATGTACCTACCACAGCAAGAACTTTGAATTTGTGGATACCATTGCTTAAAAAGTGTTCTTTTAAAATAAATTAGATATTTTAAAAGTCAGTCGATTAAAAGCAATAAAAACACTGACATTGTGCTTGCTATGAACCAATGAGTGATGCAAACCACACTCCCAGTATCCAGTTCACCAAGGGTCGTGAGAAACAGCAATAAAAACAATAACAACAACAATAATAGTAATAATCACTAAGACTCCGCTACATTTAATGTGTGTCAAGCAATAATGTTAGGGCTTTAAGTCATATTGGTTAGTTTCCCCTCCCAATCCTCGTGAGCTGGATAATAGTATTATCTTCATTCACAGAGAAGAAACCCAGAGGCACAGAGAGGGTAAGGTAACTCATCTAAGGCCACAGAGCTAGGAGCCGGCAGCTCGCAGGCTCCTCCAGAATCCGTGCTATCTGCTATTCCACCTCTCATAACACAAATGCTAAGTTGGGAGACAGATGTGACAAAACTCATGGGATGGTGTTCTAATCCCAGGGGCTTGAGAAACAATGTTGTAAGAAGCAAACCCCGTAGGTGAGCGATCAGGCCCATGGTAAATATCTAATATGCACATCGCTCTGTGGGAAACAGAGGGGCATGTCAGAGGCAGGGCTTTGGGGGAAATGTAATCTAGTTAAACAATATAACAGAAGCTGATTCTCCATCTCTGTCCCTCAGTAACACACACCGTGGGTGGTGCTCACCCTCCCTGGTGCCGGGTGTGGTGCTCAGCGTACCAGCTGTCAGACCACACCCACCTCCCTCCTGATACTCACGTGATCTAGGAGAGCTCAGCAAGGCTGTTACGATCAGGATTCATAGAGGAGCAGGATTTGTCCTGAGCCTCAAACAGTAGGTAGAATCTGAGTAGGTGAAAATGGGCTGACTTGTCTAGCCAGGGGCAGAGCCTGAGCAAAGGTGTGAGGGCCCACAGCTGGAACAGAGGGCTGTGAGCAGCTCAGTCATAGCAGGAGACAAACTCGGAAAGCTGGGTCAGGGCCTTGAATTGAGGCTGAGCAGTTCAGAACTTGACCATGTAAACCAGACCCAGCACACTATGGCCTGTAGTCCAAAGCCCGCTGGCAGCCTGTTTCTGTACACCCATGAGCTAGGAACAGTTCTTACATTCTTTAACCGTCATATTTAAATGGTTATAGAAGTACCTAAATAGGAGCCTTCATTTTGCCTCTCGGCCCACAAAGCCTAAAATATTTACCATCTGGCCTTTTACAGGGGATTTGCCAACCCCAATAAAACAAAGGAGAGGCACTGATATTTCTGAGCAGAGATGCCAGGAGGAAAGTCATGCGATAGGGAGCTTTATCTGGAAACAGTGGACAGGGGAGCAGAGGGGAGAGGACACGGGGGTCAAGGTTATAAAGTGAAGGGGACTTCAACTTGAGTGGTGGCATTGGAGTGGGAAGAAAAGAGCGTTCACAATGGGTCACAAAGCTCGAGTAGCAATACTTAAGAGGCCATGCTAAGCTGAATAATGGCCCTCAAAAAATATCCATGGCCCTTAATCCCCTGAACCTGTGAAGACGTTTCCTTACGAGGCAAAGTGGACTTTGCAGATGTGCTAAGTTAAGGACCCTGACATGCAGAGCTCACCCTGGGTTATTCAGGTCAAGCTGATATAGTCACCAGGGTCCTTCTTATGAGAGGGAAGTGGGAGTGCCCGAGTCAGAGGAGGACATGGGTGTCCTTGGAGGGCAAATGCGGATGCTGGCCGGGATGGAAGCCTTGTGAAGCCTTACCTTTCAGAAACACGGAGACATCCTCAAGCTGAGGCACGTTGTCCTCCCTGTAGCCACAGTATTTAGTCAGCAGAGGGAAGTTTTTCAAATACTCCCGGCAGGCGTGGGTGGGATAGAGTTTGGAGAGCTCCCGGAATACCACGCCCCAAGTTTTCGTTTCTTCCTCCGTGTACTCCACCCTGGGGATGGGCTGGCCGCTAGGCAGGAGAGAAGACGAATGGATGACTCGAGCTGTGGGTCACTGACGTAAGTGTGTGCTCGCCTTCATACCTAGCGCAAGTCAGATTCTTACAAAGTGGGACACCTGAGTGTCTAAGAGGATCCCATCAGTATTATTATTATTTTTTAATATGTTTTTATTGACCTCAGAGAGGAGAAACACAGAAACATCAATGATGAGAGAGAATCATCAATCAGCTGCCTCCTGCATACCCCCTACTGGGGACCAAGCTTGCAACCCGGGCATATGCCCTGACCGGGAATCGAACCGTGGCCTCCTGGTTCATAAGTCGACGCTCAACCACTGAGCCACGCCAGCCGGGCCCATCAGTATTATTTTTTAGAGTTAAGTGCTAACCTTCTAAAATTGTGTGTGCTTTCAGACTTCCATATGAATGGTTTGATTAAGTTACAGCTTCTCCTGTCCTTATGGAAATTTGATAAGATTTATGTTCTTACTCTGAGATCAGTAACAAGTAAGAGTTCTGGGTTGGAAGGAATGGTTTCGGTATAAAGCTATGCTCTGAGAGCCTTATCGGCAATCGCCTGACAACAATAACAAATGAATGTTGTCACTTGAAAATAAAATTGCCTGTGGGTTCTCTGTCCCATGTGGGGAACTCACCCCAATCTCCAAGTGTAATTTTAAGAATATTTTTCCAGTGAGAAAAACATCTGAGAAATACTAAAAGACTATGCTAAGTTTAAAACTAGGAGTTTTGCAAACTGTAAAAAAGGAGCATTTATTACACGTCATGCTGAGAGACGTGCACATTAAGCCCCTCAGTGGAGGAGAGGGGTCAGCAAACTTTTTCTGTAAAAGACCAGAAAGTAAATATTTTAGGGTTGTGAGCCATATAGTCTCTGTCACGATTGTTCAATTCTACCATTGCATCTTGAGAGCAGCCCTAGACAGTACATAAACAAATGAATGTAGCTATATGTTTTCTTACATATTATCCATATTTTTTTTGCATTTTATTTTTCAGTTGCAGTTTACATGCAATATTAGTTTGTATTAGTCTCAGGTACATAGCTCTATGTTCTAATAAAACTTTCTTTACAAAAACAGGCAGTGGGCTAGACCTGGCCCACAAACAGCATGTGCTGATGCCTGGTTTAGACTATTGAGAGGTAGCCCTGGACTGGAGTGGTCAGGGAGAGCTTCCTGGAGGAGGCACAACGTAAGCTGAGCCTTGTTGGCCAGGTATGACCTGCGAGTTCACAACAGGAAGAAAGGAGGGAAAGAAATGCTGTTCTAACAGGAGCCAGCAGCCATGAGGAGGGAGCATAGCTCCTGCTGCAACCTGGAAGGGAACACAGACCTGAGCTTTTGCAAACTATAGCTTGAGGGTCCAGAATCTGAATTTAGCCTCTGATTAAAATACCTGCTTGGAAAGTGAAATTAGGGTTTGAGAAAACCTCTCACGACATGCTCAACAGCCACCTGCAGCGCTCCCCTCTGCCTACCCTGGCCACTTTTCAGAAATTCTGCCCCTGAAGTCAGCAAATATACGCACACAATGAATGGAAGCCCAAACATATACACAGAAAACTAGGAATTCTACCCCAGCAGGCCACATAATCCCGCCTGTGGCAGCAGCCACCACAGGAGCCTGTGCCCAGGCAGCGGCAGGCACGCAGGGATGCTGTGGGGCATCTTCCACCAGCTGAGACCACCCCCAGTTCCCACCACTCCAGCCCCTGCCCAGAGGTAAAATGGGGAAAGAGAACCACAGCCAGAGTAGGCTCGCAAACTGCCCTCTGCCCCCCACCCTCTACATACTCCGTGTTCTTGCCAAAATGCTTTCTGTTTAAAATTCAGGTAAAATTGTGGTTCCCACTGCCCCAATTTTTTTTAAAATCCTCACCTGAGGATATTTTTTTCCATTGCTTTCTAGAGAGAGTGGAAGGAAGGGAGGAAGGGGGAGAGAGAGGGGGAAAAAATCGATGTGAGAGAGACACATCAATTGGTTGACTCCTGCATGCTCCCTGACCAGGGGCAGGGGAGCAAACCTGTAACCCAGGTATGTGTCCTTGACCAGGAATCGAACCCAAGACCCTTTGGTGCACAGTCTGATTATCTAACCACTGAGCAACACCAACCAGGGCCCCAATTTCTCTTTTTTATTAACTGCAGTACATGAAGGATGAGGGAATAACACCCATAGAAGAGAGAACCAGACATTAACATTTGCTTTTTCTAACTACCAAGAGGAGGGCTGATACAAACCAAATTAGAACAAGATTAGCATTGTTTAAATTTGGTTGCTGATAGCAAATAAATTATAACCTGGCGAATATTGGCTTAGCATCTGGATGAGTTCAGAATGAAAGCTTGAAATGGACAGATAAAAAAAAAATAGAAAGGACATAGGAAATAAATATATAAACGGTCCAGAAAATTCAACAAAATCAATTTGAGTCAGGTAAGCCAATACAGCTAATCAGAGCTGTGCACAGTCGGAAGGTAAGAAAGCGATGAGGCTGAAACGATAAATGAAATATTGAGAAGCCATTTGAAAAGAATCGTTAGGTCAGACTTTTCCCTTTGACACCAATCTGCAAACATGTCGCCTTTCAGAGGGGAGCTATGTCCCACAGGAAGCAGCAGAAGGAAAACAAGTGTGAGTTAGGGGAGAAAGAAAGGTGCACAGATCTGTCACTCAGTAATGAATGCCTGGTGTTGCAATCTTGGACATGCAGATGGTCACGCATATTCTCATTTGTTGCTGCTTGTTTGTCCTGCCTGCGTAGCTAACTAGCCTGCTCTTCTGAGTGAATGGCTGATGCCGAATTGCACTGCTACCTGGACCGACCGCAGGTAAGTCTGACTGCCCGTCCCGTCACGAGATTGCTCACACTGCTCTGACCCCACCCTCCCCAGGTCATCTTTAAGGGAAATGTTTAAAAATCAGCTTCACCACAAAGTAAAGGCTAGTTTTATCCATTTAATTTCTATTTAAAATATCCAAAATACAGAAAAAAATAAGAAATTTCCTGTTTCTCTAGGGAGTTAATACAGGGATATAATATTAGCTCATCTTTGAGAGCTGACTGTGGTGCCAGACAATTTTGTAAGGCTAAGTGTTTTTATATGAATTAACCCATTAGACTCTCCAGCAACTCCATGAGGTAGACACTATTATTATCTCTATCTGCAGATGAGGAAATTGAGACTCAGAGAGATTAAGCTATTTGCCTAGAATCATAGTGTCAAGTTTACCACTCAGTCAGTCTGGCTGGAGACTTGATTGACTAGTACATACCAATAAAATAAAAAAGGCATTCCAGCCCTAACTGGTTCGGCTCAGTGGATAGAGCGTCGGCCTGTGGACTCAAGGGTCCCGGGTTCGATTCTGGTCAAGGGCATGTACCTTGGTTGCAGGCACATCCCCAGTAGGGAGTGTGCAGGAGGCAGCTGATCGATGATTCTTTCTCATCGATGTTTCTGGCTCTCTGTCCCTCTCCCTTCCTCTCTGCAAAAAAAATCAATAAAATATATTTTTTTTTAAAAAAAAAGGTATTCCAGGGACCAACTTACTTTCACATGCCAAACTAAAACAAGGTTTATGGGTATGTGTGTTCATATGTAAAAATCGCATATACAATGATATGTAATCATGATGCTCGTGTATATTTGGAGATCACATAATTTTGTAGATACTTTCCTATTTATTCACTCATTGAACCTTCTCAGTAAGACAGGGATGTAGTGCTGGGTTCCCCTGCAGAATAAACCTGTGCTTAGAGAACAAGGAATGCAGAAACACCTGTGTTCTTTTCCTCTACACCAGGGGTCCTCAAACTACGGCCCGTGGGCCACATGCAAATACAAATATTGTATTTGTTCCCCTTTTGGTTTTTTACTTCAAAATAAGATATGTGCAGTGTGCATAGGAATTTGTTCATAGTGTTTTTTTAAACTATAGTCCGGCCCTCCAACGGTCTGAGGGACAGTGAACTGGCCCCCTGTTTAAAAAGTTTGAGGACCCCTGCTCTACACTTTGAGATTTGTAGTCATGGAGAAAATCAGAATTTACGGCACTGGCTTGTACTTTGGATTCATGGGGTTTTGTGACTCGTATGTGAAAAAGATGACAGAGCAGTGTCCTGGCCTTTTTAGGGCCCAAGATACACACCCATGTATCATTACGTACTTGTCTGCGGATAAACATTATAATGCATATATTTCAATGTCCTAAAACACTCCTCTGGTCCAAAACTAAAGTCACGTCAATACTCCACGTTCTAGAGAAAGCCCCAGCAGCTGGAGCCAACCATCTCCCTGGAGGTCTTGGTAAGCAGCAGCAGAATGGCCCTACCGCCCACAAAGTCCTCTCCATCACCCTGCCCGCGCCAGACCCCACCCACCAGTCTTAACAGAGAACCAGGGATGTGTAGGGTGGTGAGGAGGCCAGGGGTCGAGGGAAACGCCGGTTCTTTCCCCTTCCCTGCGTGAGGAGGGCGGGCTGAGCCATGAGAACCCTTTACAAGGACTGCGGATGCCCTAGAAGTGGAGTCTGGCATCACATGGCCCACTGGACTCCTGCTGAGCGGCAGGGGCACAGGCGGTTCCTGGTGCTGCCGCAGAGGGGAGCAGTAGAGAGCCAGTCCTGGGGTTGTGTCTGGAAGCCTGGGAGTCTGGCACGCTGTGGGGAGGAGGAGGGATCCCTGCCGCGCGTCATCTGAAATTTGAGGTTCCTGTAAACATGGAGCCTGCTGCCCAGCGAAATCTAGAGATTTCCATGGGATCCAATGTGGTGTGCCAGAAGGAAGATGGGGAAGCCTCACCCCCCCCCCAGTTTGCTAAGTTCTTAGGAGGCAGAATGCCCAGGGGTCCCATCACCCCTGAAGAAGAGGCACTGATGGGCAGGCATGTGCCCAGCTGTGGTGCCCGCCTTGGAGAGGGGCTGGAGGTGTGACCACTGGCAAGGTCAAGGGGGTGCGTAGCTGCAGGGGTGGGGGTGGAGGGAAT